AAGCAACCTAGAACTAAGGAGAAACTTCCTGACAGTTAGAACAATTAACCAGTGGAACAACCTGCCTCCAGAAGTGGTGAATGCTCCAACACTGGAAGTTTTTAAGAAGAGACTGGACAGCCATTTGTCCGAAATGGTATAGGGTTTCCTGCCTGAGCAGGGGGTTGGACTAGATGACCTCCAAGGTCCCTTCCAACTTATTATTATTATTATTATTATTATTATTATTATTATTATTATTATTATTATTATTATTATTATTATTACAGGTGGGCCTGGTGTGTTATGGTCCTCGGGGTTGCAAATAGTCGGAGACAACTTAGCGACTGAAGAACAGCAACAATAATTTTTAAATGCTATGTGCACAGGGTAGAGATAGAAACACACAGGCAATTTAAAGTTCAATATTCATTCTTTTTTCTTCAAATACAAAAAGCTGTTACAATTCAACTTAACACAAAGCATGTTCAGAGTTACAGAAACTGAAACATTGTATAAAAAGTTACACATTTAAGATGATTTTTCTCCCCCCCTCTTTTTTTTTTAATCCTCTCCTGTACTGAAACAAACAGAAATTGTTATCTTGATGAAAATATTAACAGCTACTGACCCACGGTAAAAAGTTACAGAAAAAAAATATTTCTTTTTTTAAAAAAAAAACAAACCCAATCATAATTAAATGTATGATAGCCATTTCTCCTCCCTCCGGTTTTAATGGTTATTTGCCAAAAAAAAAAAAAAAAAGAACAGATTAAAAACACCTCAAACAACTGCAAGAAGTTTCCAAAAGGTGTAAAAATTATGGTCACTAGCAGATTGGGTGAGGCGGGGTGGAAATGAGAGAATCGGAGGGCGGAGGGGACGGGTCTGCAGGATGTGGCGAACAAACGGGGTGGCCACAATTATGACCCAACTCATTTTTTTAATGTGCATTTTGACCACCCTCTTTCTCTTAGCGGACCACCCCGTGGACACCCCTGGAGAGAACGGCGGTAAACCCTACGGAGGCCCCTTCCAGTGCTGCCTCCAACTACTGTAGGAAATTTAGATTACCTGGATGGGTCCTGGTCTAAAAAAAACCCCAAAAAAACAAAAACAAAAGTACAATGATATGACGTTGAAGACCCTAGCTTCTGTTGGAATCAAAGCAATCTTAAAAGAAGAAAAAGAAAAGGGGATGGTGGTGGGGGAGCTAAAATGGTCTTCAACAAGGAGAGACGAGGAACCGTGTAGCGTCCTCATGAGGGATGGTACAAAGGAGATTAACATGCCTAGCTGTACAAGTAAAAACGCAACCACCCTCGAGAAACTCTAGAGAGGGAAGCTGGGTGGAGACACCCAGCTTCCTTCTTCTGGATTTCTCAAGATTCAGAAATGCCCGCCATGGTTAAGAACGTGCTGTTCCCTTTCCCGGGGGAGGGGGGGGGAGAGGGAGAACAACTCCCCCCCCAGCTATCACTGTGTGCTTGAGCCTCCCTGCGGGGTGCCCGTGTAGCTCCCGTAGTCGTAGTTGCCGTAGTATTGGGGCCACTGGCTCTGGTTCTGATAGTACTGATTCCACTGCTGGGTGTACTGTGGAGAAAGGAGAAAACGGATCAGTGGACGGCTAATATGTCCTTCCCCCCCCTCCCCAAAATAACTTCATTTCCATCTGCTGACTCATCTCAAGACTATACTGAGGTTTGTTTCCTCCCCTCTAAGGTCCCTCAAGCCTTCCTTGCTAAAGACGAAGGGCCAACAAGAGAATCAATAGCTGCCTTGGTGCAACATATTAAACCAGAAGCGCCCAACCTTGGCAACTGATTTATTTATTGATAGTTTAATGCAGGGAATATCCTGCATTAAAAAGACTCGTGGGATTTCAACTCCCAGAATTCCCAGGGCTGGCTGGGGGGGCATTCTGGGAATTGAAGTCCACGGGTCTTTTTAAAAAGTTGCCAAGGTTGGATATCCCTGCATTAAACTATCAATCTGGAGGAGGATGGAACCACCGCTCCGTTTTTATAACACACCACAAGTAGTCCTCGATTTACCAGCAGGCCACAATTGGGACGAGAATTTCTGTGGCTAAGCAAGGCAGTTTGTTAAATGAACCATAGTCGATTTCACGACTTTTTTTGGGGGGGGGGGCAAGGCTACTAAGCAAATCACTGCAGTTGTGAATGGAATCACACGATTGTGGTGTGAAGCCGGCTTCCCCACAACGACACCGCTTGTCGGAAGCCAGTGTGGGAAGGCTGGAAATGGCGATCATGTGACCCCCCAGGGCACTGTAACCGTCATAAATACGTGGGTGGTCCCAAACCCTGAACTGAATGCATAAGGGGAGTCGTGCTTTTCCACACTTACTTGTTGGTACTGATTGTAGTTGGGCTGATTGTAGGCTGGCGGGGTAGGCGCTGGCGGAGGCGGCGGAGGCTGGGTGTAACTTTGGCTGTAACTGCCGTACGTTCCATAGTTGTAGCTGGGAGCGGTGTAGGCCCCCTGGCTGTAGCTGGAAGGGGGGCTGTAGGGCTGGTTGTAGCTCTGCTGTGGGTGACAAAGTCACAGTTGGTTCTCTAAGCTGAAGTGTGCAGATGCAGACCCTCTAAATCCCATTGAGAGGCCCCCCTCAAAAACCTCACGCTGCAAGCTGAACCTCACTGACACCCCCCCCTTTTTTTTTTTTGACCCAAAGGAATATTTTAAAAAGCTGCGTTTTGGTCTAGTGGTTAAGACAGCAGGCTAGGAAAGTGAGAGGCTGTGAGTTCTGGACACGACCACGCGGGGAGGAGTTCCAGGGATTCAGGAACTGCAGAAAGTGAATGGAAGGAGAAAAAAAAACAAGTGGGGAGAGAACAGAGGAACACACCTTAAGGCAGGGGTCCTCAACCTTGGCCACTTTAAGACTTGTGGACTTCAACTCCCAGAGTTCCTCAGCCAGCTTTGGGCCAATCACCAAGAGACGGTGAGTTCTAGTCCCGCCTTGGGCATGAAAGCCGGCTGGGTGCCTTTGGGCCAATCACCAGGAGACGGTGAGTTCTAGTCCCGCCTTGGGCATGAAAGCCGGCTGGGTGCCTTTGGGCCAATCACCAGGAGACGGTGAGTTCTAGTCCCGTCTTAGGTATGTAAAGCCGGCCTGATGACCTTGGGCCAGCCACTCTGTCTCGGCCCAATCCACCTCACAGGAGATGCACTGGGGAAAATAGGAGGGGCTGTTGGGATAACCTCGCCGCCTTGAGGAGTTTGTAAAAATAATAAAGGTGGGATACCGATAAATAGATAAATAAATTTGCAACATACTGTCATGCCAAAGGCTAATGGAGCACCAGAAAGATGTCCTACTGATAGGCATCACGTATGTCAAACATGATGCACACATATAACCTGCTGTTCCTCATCCTTCCTTTTACCCACCCACTGGGGTGCTTTCTCAGCTGCCCTGATCCTTCCCAGATGCATCCCTCAATTATCCCCCGGTTGAAGGGGGGCTTCGGCATTTCCCCCATCGGAATCTCGAGTGGAACCCTGGGTGCAGCCTACCTGTGGTCCTTGATTGTACGACCCCGCAGGGGGGTTGGTGGCCGGGCTCAGGGCTGGAGGAGCAGGGGCCAAGCTACTGCTCTTGTAAGGATTCTGCTCACGCGCTGGGCTGTAGCTGCTCTGCTGTTGGTTGTTCTGATTGTAACTGCCTCGGGTGTTGTTGTTGTTGTTGTCTCGGTTCCCGCTGCCCCAGCGGCTTTGGTTGTAGCCGCCTCGGTTGAAGCCTGAATGGGAAAGCCAGAGTTATGAGCTTCCACGAAAGAGCCAGTCTGGTATAGTGGTTAAGGCACCGGGCTAGAAAGCAGGAGACGGTGAGTTCTAGTCCCGCCTTAGGCACGAAAGCCACTGGGTGACTTTGGGCCAATCACAGGGGATGGTGAGTTCTAGTCCTGCCTTAGGCACGAAAGCCACTGGGTGACTTTGGGCCAATCACAGGGGATGGTGAGTTCTAGTCCTGCCTTAGGCACGAAAGCCACTGGGTGACTTTGGGCCAATCACAGGGGATGGTGAGTTCTAGTCCCGTCTTTGCCATGAAAGCCACTGGGTCACTTTGAGCCAATCATCAGGGGACGGCGAGTTCTAGTCCTGCCTTAGGCATGAAAGCCACTGGGTGACTTTGGGCCAATCGCTAGCAGAGGGTGAGTTCCAGTCAAGCTATACTGAAATATTACATTCATGGGGAGACTTTGAACTCTGAAACACCACCTAAGGGACTCCCAGCTAGGTTTACTGGAACGTCCAACGGTTGCTAAGTGACCAGTCATAAGTCAAGGACGTATAATTGAGAAAACCAACTTTCTCACCTCACCGAGGCCATTAGTCCAGTCTTACCTCCACTTCCGCCACCAACCCCGATTCCTCCTCCTCCTCCTCCTCCTCCTCCTCCTCCACCGCTGCCTCTGTAGCCGCCTCCTCCTCCGCCGCCGCCACCACCGCCGCCGCCACCTCCTCCTCCTCCTCGGTTCTGGAAGCCGCCCCGGTTGCCCACTGGCGGGCCTCGATTGTCAAAGCGCTGAAATCCTCCTCCGCCGCCGCCGCCTCCTCGGCCACGGAAACCGCCGCCACCTCCGCCGCCGCCCCAGCTGTCAAACCGTTTTTCGGGGGGCGGGCCTGCTTTCTTCCCTTCGTCGTTGTACTGCCTCACCAGCTTCTCTGCCTCCTCCTGCTGCTCCTCGATGTAAACCACCGAGTCAAGGAAATCGCCGGCTTCCGGCAGGGCAAAGTTCGCTGTCGGGAAAGAAACCAAGACGCCGGTCAGTCACCGCTAAGAGAGGTGGAAAGGGGACACGACCACGCGGGGAGGAGTTCCAGGGATTCAGGAACAGCAGAAAGTGAATGGAAGGAGAAAAAAAAAACAAGTGGGGAGAGAACAGAGGAACACACCTTAAGGCAGGGGTCTTCAACCGTGGCCACTTTAAGACTTGTGGACTTCAACTCCCAGAATTCCTCAGCCAGCTTTGGGCCAATCACCAAGAGACAGTGAGTTCTAATCCCACCTTAGGCATGAAAGCCGGCTGGGTGCCTTTGGGCCAATCACCAGGAGACGGTGAGTTCTAGTCCCGCCTTGGGCATGAAAGCCTTGGGTGCCTTTGGGCCAATCACCAGGAGATGGTGAGTTCTAATCCCACCTTAGGCATGAAAGCCGGCTGGGTGCCTTTGGGCCAATCACCAGGAGACGGTGAGTTCTAGTCCTGCCTTGGGCATGAAAGCCGGCTGGGTGCCTTTGGGCCAATCACCAGGAGACAGAGAGTTCTAGTCCTGCCTTGGGCATGAAAGCCGGCTGGGTGGCATTGGGCCAGTTGCTCTCTCTCAGCAGATCTCATCTCACAGGATTGTTATGGGGAAAATAGGAGGAAGGTGTGTTGGATGTGTTCCTTGCCTTATTTATAAAAAACAACAAAGGCGGGATTCAAATAAATAAATAAAATAAAAATAAACCAAGACAGCTGCAGACTTAATGCGTCGTAGGTATGGGAGTGGGTGGGACCTTAAAATATCCCAGAGAGAAGAGGAGGAAAACAAAAGGGGAACTAGAAGCAACTGAAGGATCCCTTTTAAAGTCCTTGAACTACATTCCCCCCCCCCCCCGCACAGTCAGGATCGCTTGTCTCCTTCTCAGGCGGTGCCGGGAATGCAAAGTTTGGTTTTCCTATTTCCAGCATCCTACCTTTCATTTCTAACACTGCGTGATCAGGCACATCCTTCCCCTCCTCGTCCGTGCGTTTTATTGTCCGGTCGTTTAAATCCTCGTCCGTGGGACAAATTATGATGGCTTTGCGTTGAAAACCTTCAAAAGGACGCATTTTTCGTCTCTGGGCAGATCCATAAACATTTGTCTAGCAATGATAATAAAGAAGAGAGTGTTTAAAAAAAAAAAAAAAAAGACCTGGTTGTTATTTAGCCATTTAAGGCTCCCCCCCACCTGACGCCCCACAATGGAACAAGGACGGTGGTAATGTGCACCTTTTTTGCAATTCAAATGAACCCCCCCCCCAGAAGGGTAGGGTGATAGGGCAGCGGTGGCTTTGCTCAGAAAAAGTGCAGTTTGCCTTAGGAGGGGGAAACGGAGCAAAAGGACATCCGGCGTCCATTCATTTAAGTGCGTTTACGTACAGTAGTAGAGCCATCCAAGCAGCAGAGTTAGATAGCAGGGGATTTAAAAAGATGTTGTCTTAAAAGGCCATATCTTTTTTTTTTTTTTTTTGACTTGAGGGAAAGAGGCAGGGAGGCTGCAACAATCTGAATGGGGGGGGTGTGTCCAAACTTGACAACTTGTAGACTTCAATTCCAGAATTCCCCAGGCAGCATGCGTCCACAGATCTTAAAGTTGTCAAGGTTAGACAACCCTGATCTGAATGCATTATGTTTGAAAGGCGTTAAGCTTCAGAAAGATTTATTAGACGCAAGAAGCCAAAGAAGCTGGTTCAGTTATGCCTTATCTATAATTTGAAGCAAGGATTGCTGGTTTGGTTTGATTCTGGAATAAAAGTTGCACAATGGCAGTCATCTATGTGTGGGTCGAGCGGCTATATTGATTAATTAATTAAAGGGGGGGGCAGAAATCTATCATCTATCTATCATTATCTAGCTATCTTATCTATCTATCTATCTATCTATCTATCTATCTCTATCTATCTATCTATCTATCTATCTATCTATCTCTATCTATCTATCTATCTATATCATATATCTAGCTATCTATCATTATCTAGCTATCTTATCTATCTAGGTATCTATCATCTACCTACCATTATCTATCCTATCCTATCCATCCATCCATCTATCAATCATTATCTAGCTATCTTATCTATCTAGGTATCTAGGTATCTAGGTATCTAGGTATCTAGGTATCTATCTATCTATCTATCTATCTATCTATCATCTATCTAGCTATATATCTCTATCAAATAAATAAAAAAAATGGGGGGCCAGAGCACATGTCCACTTACCCTAGGCTGGCACAGCTTGCTACACATCTGGCCCCAGACCCCCTCCCAGCTGTCCCCAGGAAGAAAAAGGAGGGGCCTCATACCTGATCCAGAATGTAATTCCGCTTCTTCCGCGCTGCAATCTGGATTAGGCGGTTCAGGCACTGTGTCGCTTGCTGGATGAGAACGTCCCAGCGGCCGGCGTAATTGCGCTGCCGTCGGAGTCCCATTACCTGAGAAAAGGCAGGGTGGTGAGGGCAGCTGGGGGGGGGGGCATAGCAAGAGCGCCCCCTGGAGTAGCTGGCCGGAAATAGGCATTGGGGGTCCCAGGGCGATTCACGCAGGAGTCATGACAGGAGACTCTCAGAATCATATACAGGTAGTCCTCAGCTTACGACTGTAAGCCTAGAATTACAGTTGTAAGTCATTGTGGTCATAAGTCGAGGCATCAGGGCCCCAGACCTGATTTTTCAACATTTTTTTTTTTTGCAGCGAATCTATTTTCACTTAGTAGAAATCCGCAGGGACTGATTTTCACTTCGTAAAAATTTGCAGTAAAATCCGCAGGGACTCCTTTACTTTTATAGAAAAACCACCGCTTGCAAACGAAAGCCTATCCTGCAAAAGTCTGGCCAGAAAAAGTCATTTTCAAAAGACAAGTGAGCTGATCTGAGGTTTCGACATACCAGGAAGCTAGAGGGGCCCACCACAAATGAGGAAGCAGACGGGAGAAGCCGGCGTTCTCTGCCTCCGAAGCTTACCCTCATTTTGTCCATAATGGCGTTTGTTCCCAAAATATTATACTTCTTGCCTGGATTGGCTGCGGCATGCTTAATGGCCCACGTCGTCTTCCCGGCGGCAGGCAACCCCACCATCATCAAGATCTGAAACACAGGGTGTGGTTTGAACAGCTGCTGTGAGCCAGTAACGCAACGCCAACCAGTTTTCCACAGCAAAGCTCTCCTTCACAAATCGAGTCAGAAAAAGGGCAGCTCTGCTGGGCCGCATCCTTCTAAGGCAGGGGTAGGCCACCTGGGCTCTTTGATGACTCGTGGACTCCAACTCCCAGAATTCCTGAGCCAGCATGGCTCAGCATGGAAACCTCTCCCTTTCCCCTCAGCGTGGCTGGCTCAGGAATTCTGGGAGTTGAAGTCCACCAGTCATAAAAGAGCCAAGGTGGCCTGCCAGTTCTAAGGGACTATCCATTCCAGACACAGAAATAGGAGATTACAGGCGTCTCCTGGCCTCAGAGGCACAGAAAAACCCAACATTTTAAACCCTTATATTTTCTTTTGAAATATACAGGTAGTCCTCGGCTTACAACAGTTTGTTTAGTGACCGTTCAAAGTTACAACGGCACTGAAAAGTGAGCTAGGATTGCTTTTCACACGGCTGTTGCAGCATCCCCCGTCACATGTTCAAAACTCAAGATGCTTGGCAACGGACTCATCCCAGTGTCCCAGGATCACGTGATCCCTCTTGCGACTTTCTGACGAGCAAATGATTTAAGTGTGGCGAGAAAGGTCGTAATATGGGGCAAAATTCACTTAACCACTGTTGAGCAACAAAAAATTTTGCTCAATTGTGGTTGTAAGTTGAGGACACTGGAAGTTTTTAAGAACTCCAAGGTCCCTTCCAACTACTACTACTACTACTACTACTACTACTACTACTACTTCTTCTTCTTCTTCTTCTTCTTCTTCTTCTTCTTCTTCTTCTTCTTCTTCTTCTTCTTCTTCTTCTTCTTCTTCTTCTTTTCTTCTTCTTTTCTTCTTCTTCTTCTTCTTCTTCTTCTTCTTCTTCTTCTTCTTCTTATTATTATTATTATTATTATTATTATTATTATTATTATTATTATTATAGCTTTTATCAGTCTAACATCCAGTCAGCGATAACCATCTTAGTCACTATGTTTGAATCTGTGAGTCTCTGACTGGCCCTTTTCACTGCTGCCAATTTGAAAATCTGGGCGTTTAACCTCTGAATTTTTTTATAAGCAGTTAAGGCCTGGTCTTCAACCCAGTTGATGCAATAACTATTTCAGAGGGGAAAAAACTGCTCTTGTCTGAGTCCTGGTCCACTCCACCCCCACCTGGTGAAGAAGGACCTGGCCACTGAACTCAAGAACCTTCCATGGGTGGCTTCTCCTCTGGGGCACCTACTTCACAATCCCTTTTGCTCTTTGGTCCAATGGTGCCCCGGACTCGCTCGGACAGGGGGAGGTGCTGTATGAAGGTGAATCCCGGTGGGACCGGAAAGAAAGTGTCTTCCCTTTGGCCAAAGTTGAATTCGATGGCGCAGTTCTTCGCCAGCACATGAGGGAACAGGGCCTGGCCCCCCAAATTCTCCTTCCGTAGCTGATAGGCCACCCCGAGCCATTTCCCATTCTTCATGAAGGAGATTTCCACGTCGTCGCCACACTCAAAGTCCTGAAGAGGAGAAGAGGGAAGGAATCGCCAATCAATCTAGAGCAGGGAATTTGAGAACATGGAGCGCTGTTACCTCCCCATCGGAATGGTACCTATTTATCTACTCGCAGTTGCATGATTTTGAACTGCTAGGTGAGCAGGAGCAAGTGACGGGAGCTCAACCCATCACGCACAGCAGCACTCGGGTCTCAAATCTGGGCTGTTGGCTTGCCAGCTGACAAGTCCAGTGTCATGGTTCCGAAAGATGAAACTCTTCAAAGAACTTTGAGGCATTGTTTACCTTAAAGAATCTTTACTGGGGCCAAGATCTGACTTTCCCCTCCCTTCAGCACATAATATCAAAGCACAATTCCCTCCTACAACTAACAGTCATAAATCACATTCTCCAATTTGTTTGAAATGCTGGCTTTCCACCCAGTTTTTTCTCCCGCCATTCCTTATCAGCTCTTGTTACAATTTTGTATGTCTGTCTAACTCCCATCACATCCCTCCCCCTCCCCCAATATCGTCTCATTCTAAGAGTAAAGTATAAGACAGAAAAAGGCTGCATCTCCATCTGTTGTCAAAGCAAGAGCCTCCAATGTTAGCAGCGTTGACGCCCAGCATCTTAACCCCTGAGCCATCGCGGCACCCTAGAGGTGTGTAGCTTCTGAAACTCCACAGGCCGTACTCACCACAAGACAAGTGATGACGTCATTCTCAGTAAAGGTTTCGCCGTAATTTTCGAACTTGCAATTACTGGATTTCTTTGCAGTGCCTCCGTAGCCATAGGAGAAAGCCTCTTCCCCTAACGAGAACAATAATTGAACAGAGACCTGAGCAGCCGTGCCATGGGGGACCAGGTGGCATTCGTGGGGCAGAGAACTCTTCATATCCCCAGTGTGGTTTCACTTAAGCAGGGAAATTGCCTAATTCAAATGCTTCGGTTTAAACTAAAGATACTCAAAAAGTAAAGACAGCCCAGCATAGCATGAAAGCTGGCTGGGTGCCTGTGGGTCAATTGCCAGGAAACGGCGAGCTCTAGTTCCATCTCAGGCATGAAAGCCAGCTAGGTGACTCCAGGCCAATCACCAGGAGACGGTGAATTTTAGTCCTGGTTTAGGCACGAAAGCTGGCTGGGAGACTATGAGCCAGTCACTCTCTCTCAACCCAACTGATCACACAGGGCTGTTGCTGTGTAGCAAATAGAGGGGGGGAGGAGCAAATAATAACAACAACAATAATAACGATGAATAAAGGGACCTTGGAGGTCATCTAGTCCAACCCCCTGCTCAGGCAGGAAACCCTATACCTGTGGTGGCGAACCTATGGCACGCATGCAGAGCCCTCTCTGTGGGCACGCACGGCGTCGCCCCAGTCCTAGGCCTTCAGCTGGGTTTTATAAAACCTTTTCACTTTAGGCCTCCGCCGCCGTGTGCAAAAAAAAAAAAGGGTTCAATCAATCAATCAATTTCAACTTCTCGCAGGAAAAAAAATGATCTCGCAAAGTTGGAATTGATTGATTGAACTTTTTAGTCCCACCCAGTCTGCCGTTATCACCGAAGCCACGCCCACCCAATGGGCCATGCCCACCCAATTGGCCACACCTAGCCATTGGGCCATGCCCACCCGGCACCCGATGATACGTAAGTGGGTTTTGGGTTGCAGTTTGGCTGTCCAGTCTCTTCTTAAAAACTTCCAGTGTTGGAGCAGTCACAACTTCTAGAGGCAAATCGTTCCACTGATTAATTGTTCTCACTGTCAGGAAGTTTCTCCTTAGTCCTAGTTATGTTCACCAACTTGAGTTGTTTATAAAAACAATAAAGGTGGAATGTAAAATAAATAAATAAAACACACTCCGAGGCTTCCCTAGATCCAGCAATTAAAAACTACTCACCTAACTGAGTGCTACATGAATCCAGTGACCAGCCAATCCGCACGACGTGAGGATCCGGTTCAGTGGGAGGAAGGTGTTTGACAGAGATCTCTTCGTTGATCTGAAGACAAAAAGAAAGCCCCCTGGTGGTTAGCGATACTCTTCTTCCTATAATCTCCTCTGCACCTCCGTGGCGAGGACGCACGTTCCCTCACCTTCATCTCGTAGCACACCCTCCCACGCCGCACGCCGTACGTCGCTCGTGCGCCTGACCAGAGAAAAGCAAATCCTTCGATGGTCAGAGGGTACCCACTGTATCGATCACGGGCAACTTTGAAATGGAGATCACAATTATCTGAAGAGCAAAACAAATGTTGTCAATGAAAACCAAAGGAGATTTAATCATAGAGGCAACTGTGGGCTACAACCCAGTACGGATCACAGCAACGTGTGACGGTGAGGCTTTCCGTGATGGAAGACGACTCTCCTGATGATGTTAAGCTAGGACAGGGGTAGGCAACCTGGGCTCTTTTGTGACTCGTGAACTTCAACTCCAAGAATTCCTGAGCCAGCATGGCTCAGCATGGAAACCTCTCCCTTCCCCCTCAGCATGGCTGGCTCAGGAATTCTGGGAGTTGAAGTCCACGAGTCATAAAAGAGCCAAGGTTGCCTACTCCTGAGCTAGGATAATAGGCAAGAAGAATTAGCTAACTCCTCATTTCTGGTATCAGAACCGCTGCATGTCAATGGCTGTATTTAAAGAAGGCAGAACTGAAAATGGAATAGGAATGGAGAACTCTTACTGGGGGAAAAAATCACTTCTGCTTTGCCCTCTTAAAACAACAACAGGCCTCTATTCAATAATTTTCTTGCCAAAATAGAATGGCTTAGTGTGAGGCTAAGATGTCTCATAGACTCAGGACTATTAAATGATCCACTTAGGGGCCTCGTAGTTTTTAAGGGAAGAAATCAATGCCGTACAACTTTCCAATATCTAAGGTAGTTACTGCACCATTTAAATCCCTTTCCTACTACTCCTAAACACCTATACTTACAAACCTAAAAGAATCTTGTTGGTTTAACCCAGGGGTTAAACCAACTATGCTGACTCAGGAATTCTGGGAGTTGAAGTCCATGAGTCATAAAAGAGCCGAGGTTGCTATGCTGACTCAGGAATTCTGGGAGTTGAAGTCCATGAGTCATAAAAGAGCCGAGGTTGCCTACCCGTGGTTTAACCATTCAATTATATCCGACCCTTGGTGAGTTTATAGGCAAGTGCTCTCCGTGCCACCCTATCAAGCACACTTTCTTTTCAGTTGTGGGATGTTCAACTTTGCATCAGATTTGATGTTATCGAACCAGCGTACTCTTTGCCTTCTTCTTCCTTCTTCCTCCTCCTCCTCCTTCTTCCACTAACCACGCCTAGCATTGTTGTCTTCTCCAAAGCATTTGCACCAAAAACAATGAAAATTTAAACTTCTCCTTTTCGAGGGAGGATATGCCCACAAACTAAAAGAGGCCATGGCAAAAAGCTGAATTTAAAGCCTTCCTATTACAAGGGTCAGAGCTGTAATTTTTCCTCTTGCGGGGAACCAATAATGCTGGCTGTGGAATCCTGGGAGTTGAAGTCCACATGCCTTAAAATTGTCAAAGGTTGAGAAACACTGATCTAAAGGACTCTTCCTCGACCCCTTTCACTGAATTTGAAGAATTATGACCCACACATCCCTCTACCTCAGCTGCTTTTTTTATCTTACTGCACCTCAGGGAGGTGAGATTATCGAAGGACACAGAAACCAGAACTGAAGGGGGAAAGTCTGCTGTGTGTGTCGACTCTGGAAATGAACAAGGTGGGGCAAGAGGGAATCTGCCTTGGGGGGTGGGGGGTGGAGCAGGCAGCGTAATTTATTTATTTATTTTTCGCATTTCTAAACCGCCCTTCTCCCTCAAAGAGGGACGCTTACATTTACAGTAAAATGAAAAATAAAATAAAATAAAATAAAAAACAGTATCTAGATCAGTGTTTCTCAACCTTGACCATTTTAAGGCATGTGGACTTCAACTCCCAGAATTCCACAGCCAGCAATGCTGGCTGTGGAATTCTGGGAGTTGAAGTCCACATGCCTTAAAATGGTCAAGGTTGAGAAACACTGATCTAGAGAGAAGCGAAAAACAACACCGCAAATCTCTGTAACTCACATGTATCAATGGCCACCAGGGAGTCATCAAAATCGTCCTCGTCTTCTTCTGCGGGCGGCTGAGGAGATCGACCCCTGGAAGAGATGCAGCAGGAAATGGAGCTTCCATCAACCCATCTTAGGCAAACTGAGATGTGGCCTGCAAAGCAGGCTGAGAAAGGAAACACCGTGCCCGATTCCAGGAAACTAGTCCCACCCCTGTTACCACGTTGATTCAACTGGGAACACTTTGGAAGCTCCTAGTCAAGTCAAAAAAGTACTGCAGCCCTGGATTTAGATATAGGAAATCTTCAGTTTTCCTATACAACTACAATTCCTGGCATCCCTAGAAAAGATGGCCAAAAGGGAGGGATGCTGGGTGTTGTAGTTCAGGAACACCCTGAAGATTTCTTTTGGTGAGATGGGGATGCCTATGGTAGGTAGGTGGATAGGATAGACAGACACATACATATATACATACATGCAGAGCAGAATTAAACTTATATACCGCTTCACAGTGCTTTACAGCCCTCTCTAAGTGGTTTACAGAGTCAGCATATTGCTCCCAACAATCTGGGTCTTCATTTTACCAACCTCGAAAGGATGGAAGCCTGAGTCAACCTGGAACCCATCAGGATCAAACTCCTGGCAGTGGGCAGTGAGTCAGCCTGCAACAGTGCATTATAACCACTGCGCCACAGCTCCTTCACACACACACACACACACACACACACACACACACACACACATACACAATAGTATGTATGTCTTAACAAAAAAGGTTTATCAGATGAGAATCTGCATTTACAAAGATGTTATAAAACAGCTGTTCATTTCAGCCAAATATATGTTTTACTTTAAAGTTTAAAACTAAATATCACTTAAGAAATAGCCAACCCTTAATGCCCCATTTTTCATCCAATACGCTTACAATCTTTACAACTTAGTAAAATCAAATGCACTGTCAGGTTTGTGGAATATATGAAGAGAATGTCCTTGACCAAATCCCAGATACCTCTTTAAAACAAATTCTGCTTTCAGTGACACCGCTGGGCTCAGTTCCTTTCCAGGGTGTTTTGGAAAGATAAAAAACATACCGAATCTTTGTCCGAACGTACCTTTTATTCTCGCGATATTCGTAATATCCACGCCCTCTGGACTCATCAAATGTCCTCTTATGACCTTGCTGTGGGGGTGGCTGCTGCTGCTGCTGCCAAGACTGATAGGAGTCTGAGGTGTTATAAGCAGAGGGGGGCTCATTGTAAGAGGAAGACGAGGCGTTGTAACCAGAGGCTGATATGCTGTGGCTGGGAGCTGACTCCTCCTGTTTTATTTCTGTCTTCATTTCTGCATTTAAACACAATAGGCACGTTTAACTGGGCTAAGCAATCCACATGAAAAAGAAACAACGGCTACTATTTACTCTGGAAAAGCCAGCAAAAATCGCCCTAGCTACAAGAGAAAAAAAACTCTCTTTCAATTTCACTACCAAATGACTTGGCTCTGAGCCAGGCAACAGTTAAGAACCAGAGCAGAGACGATCAGCAATAAAATTTGCAAGGCAAGGTTCTCATTATCGCCCCGATTTATGTGCCAGAACCAAAACCACTGAAGTACCTATTTTGATCCCCCACAATTTTCTTGCTTCTCCTCTTAAGATGCGAGGATTCTATTAGAATAACACAGAGATATGATTAAGATAACAAGGAGAGGGATATTCAGGCGGAGAATTCTAAGGGGAACAATGTAATAATCAATTAGGGCAGTGATCCCAAGTGGAGCCGAAAGAAAACAAGGTGTGTTCCTCACCTTGCTTGTGCTTTTTTAAAAAGGGAGAAGCTACAAGTCCACAATAAACAGAAGAAAAATCCACGACATTTTCCTTTATGGATGTACAACAAAGCGAAAATAAATAATAATAATAAAATAAAAAATAATAAAATGAATTAACAGATTCCCTTCGTGGAAAAAACAAGAATTCTTATCATTCAACAATATGCAAATCTTTTACACATAGATAGTCCTTGACTTACAACCATCATAAATGAGTCAGTTGTCAGTTGGATCACAGGAGGTTGTAATGGTTGTTAAGTGTGAAAAACGGACAGTCATTTTTTTTCAGTGCCGTTGTTAACTTCGAACGGTCACTAAATGAACTGCTGTAAGTCGAAGACGGCCTGTATTACATTTTGGAATGTTTATCCCAGGGGTAGGCAACCTTGGCTCTTTTATGACTCGTGGACTTCAGCTCCCAGAATTCCTGAGCCAGCCACGCTGAAGGGAAAGGAAGAGGTTTCCAAGCTGAGCCACACTGGCTCAGGAATTCTGGGAGTTGAAGTCAACAAGTCATGAGGGGGCCAAAGTTTTCCCCATGCTGGCTCAGGAATTCTGGGAGTTGAAGTCCACCAGTCATAAAAGAGCCAACGTTGCCTACCCCTAGTTTATCCAGTAAAAAAATCATCCCTCCGCATACCCTACCTCCAAAGTTTTTTAATGCAAAAAATAACTGAGGCGCCTCAGTGGGGCTATTCTAAAACTTCCTCCCCAAAATTTTGGAAATGTTCTCCCCGCTTAACAAAACAACAAAGGCTCTTTTTCTGACACTCGTTTTTTACCTGATCGATCTTGGCTTACAGCTCCCCGCTCGTAACCCAATTCGTTCTCCTGTTTAACATTGAAATGCTCAAAAGACTGATATCCTTGCCGGTTGTCTTGGCGAGTGTTGTCACGGATGCCATCTTGAAAAACAGGAATCAAAAGAAGGCAGATCAGCATCACTGTTTCATGCTACTTTTTTGGGGGGAAAAAAGAGCCGAATCCCGAATGGTTTTCCTTGCACCGGCAGAAAGCGGTTGGGCTACATGGAGGCCGTGGGCACCCCAGCCAGCCAGCCAGCCCACCCTTACCTGGATGGCTGCAGATCACTTATACCCTCAGCGCCATTAAGAGGTTGAACCTTTTTTCTGGAGTACCCACCATTCAAGATGCAGAGGGGGAAGAGAAATGGCGGGGTTTTGTGTGAGAATAATGCCCCATCCTGAAAAGCAACTTGTTATCCTGCAGCAAACTGAAATGCCATAGAGGAGGTTATTCTGTGCTGTTTTTCTCTGAATACGACTCCCACCCCAGGGGAGGATCAAAATAGTGCTGCTAAGGAGAGGGTTCGCTCCCTGATTACGGCAAGGCTGAATGCCAAGGCTAAACAACACAGGAAACCAGAGGGTGCAGCATGTCCTCAGCATCGCACAAAACAATTGTGCTTGATGTAGAAAAAAAAATCCCTGTATTTTGAGCCCAAAGCAAATCACAGGTGGAAAGCTCCCCTCTTAGATTTGGTACAGTTATCTACTTTGTTTGGTCTCAGCTGGAGTAATATTATATCTTGTTGTGATATTTATATGTTAGCCAAAGAAATAACAGGAATTGGAAGGGACTTTGGAGGTCTTCTAGTCCAATCCCCTGCAGGAGACCCTATGCCACTCCAGACGAATGGCTGTCCAATCTCTTCTTAAGAGCCTCCAGTAATGGAGCACTTACAACTTCTGAAGGCAAGTTGCTCCACTGGTTCATTGTTCTCACTATCAGGAAATTTCTCCTTAGTTCTAGGTTGGGACTCTCCTTGATTAGTTTCCACCCATTGCTTCTTGTTTTGCCTTCAGGGGCTTTGGAGATTAGGTTGGCCCCCTCTTCTTTGTGGCAGCCCCTCAAATATCGGAACACTGCTATCATGTCACCCCCCTAGTCCTTCTTTTCAGAAGACTAGGCAAACTAGACTACTAGACAAATCCAATTGCGGTAAAGATATATGGAAAAAATGCCTGACAATATGATACGCCTAAGATGGAAATTTGTGGTCAATTTCGTAAGGGCCAAGAGATTCAGAGGCCAATTAAGAATAAATAGAATGAACAGAATAAGAATAAATAGATCAAAGATTGCTAAAATGGCTGGAATTCTAGGTGGTTATCAATTGCGCTTTCTTTATACCCACTGTTCAGGGCGTGCTAGGTGCTGTTTGGAGATCTTGTGGGTCCCTTCTCTGGCTCTCCAAGAAGCAGCTGTGCTGAAGCTTCCCTGAAGGCAAGAGGATCCCAGGCACTCAAGACAGGAGTCACTTGGCAACGAAGGGCAGCATCAGGGAAAACAAATGCCCAGATGCCATAAAAACAACACCTTGCACTTTGGGAAGTCAGAAAAGCCCCGGTCTTTTCCCAAGGGGCAGCCTGGATCGCCCACAGGCCTCCAGGATGGGAAGCCCCCGAAGTGGAAGGTCTATGGCAAGGGTCCCCAACCCCCAGTCTGTGGACCAGTACCGGGCCACGGCATGCCAGCAACTGGACTGCACAAACAAGCAAAGCCCCATCCGTGGGATTAGGTAGCACACAAAACCACGCGCCCTCCGGTCCCCGGAAAAACCTCTCTCCACGGAACCGATCCCTGGTGCCCAAAAGGTTGGGGACCTCTGGTCTATGGAGATTCTTAGCCGTCCAGATCATGGTTGTTCCAAAGGTGCTTCCCCCCCCCAAAAAAAGGCAAGGAATATTGCGGGCCCCATCCCTTAAGGAGAGAAGTCTGGTGGGACCCAGAAGAAGCGCCTTCCCCATGGTGGCTCCCTCTCCCTGGAACATCCTCCTAACCCCCCCCCCCCAGATTAGACTGGCCCCCCTCTCTGACACTCTTCCAGAAGGTGCCGAAGGCCTGGGTCTGCCAGCGGTCTTAGTTAGGGAACCCAGAGCGGGATGGAGCCCATCAAATGGCTAGTTTGAATGGGTGGGTGGGTGATTATTATTTTTCTTCTTATTTTTTTTTAATAGGGTGTTTTTATATCTGTGCAAGCCGCCTTGAGTCGCTGCATGCGAGTAGGCGGCAGCATAAATTTTCCAAATAAATAAATACACACACACACACACAAACAACTGGACTTTCTTGTTTTTCCTTGAAGACGTTTCCGCTTCCTCGTTTTTTCAGTTCAACCGAGGAAGCTTCTTGAATGTGGAAAAACTCAAGTCCAACAGCCTTTTTTTGGGGGGGAGAGAAAAAAGCCCCCTTTGGGGCTCCAGGAAGGCCCATCCTCCCCAGCCTTACGCTCCCCGAGACCCATCCTGCCCAGCGAGGGGGTGGAGGGTGTCTCCTCCACCCACCCATGTTCCCCAGCGAGAGCCTGCGTCGTACGGCCCATGCTCCCCGGAGACCCATCCTGCACAGCGTGGGGGGGGTGTATCCTCACTGACCATACTCCCCGGCCATCATATTCCCCCCTCCCGCCCCGGAGACCCATCCTTCGCCCCGTCTCCTCACAACCCCATGTTCCCCAGCGAGCGGCTGCCGCGCACGGCCCATGCTCCCTGGCCAGAGGCTCCCGCAGAGACCCATCCTCCCCAACGAGCGGGAGCCCACCTCCCCGCGCCTTAACGTCCCCCGTGAAGACCCATCCTCCCCAGCCAGAGGCGCCTCCTCTCAGGCCCATCCTCCCCAGCGACCCTCTGCCTCGTACGGCCCAGGCTCCCTGGCCACCCATCCTCCCCAGCCAGGGAGCGCGCGCCTTCCCACAGACCATGTTCCCCGGCCACCCCAGCCTCCGCCCCGGAGACCCATCCTCCCCGGCCTTCCCACAGACCATGTTCCCCGGCCACCCCAGCCTCCGCCCCGGAGACCCATCCTCCCCGGCCTTCCCACAGACCATGTTCCCCGGCCACCCCAACCTCCGCCCCGGAGACCCATCCTCCCCGGCCTTCCCACAGACCATGTTCCACGGCCACCACAACTTCCGCCCCCGGAGACCCATCCTCCCCGGCCCGCGGTGTCTCCTCACAGGCCCGCGCTCCCCGGCAAGGCGTGGCCCACGCTCCCCGGCCTTGAGACCCATGCTCCCCAGCGAGGGCCGCCCGGCCCGCTTACAGTGTCCGTCCGAGAGCGACTCTCCGCCCGAGTCCAGTCCGGGCTCCCCGCGGGCCTGCTCGGCGTCTAGCGCGGCGTGCAGCCGCCCGGCCAGCTCGGCCTTGAGCCCGCGGGTGTCGAGGCCGCGGCGGCCGAGCTCCTCCTTCAGCTCGCTGACGCGCAGTCTCCGCACATCCATGGCGCGCTCAGTCCCGGCCGCAGGGTCGCGGTTGCCCGGCCATCGGGGCGCCGTTCCGGGCTCGGCTCAAAATGGCCGCCCTCGCAGAAGCCCCGCCATGCAACGGGCCCTCCGGTTGGCCGAGCCGGCGCGCGAGGAATGAGAGGCGCTCTCCGATTGGAGAAAGCGTCGCCTTGCCTTCGCCCCCCCTCCTCTCGCTCCCTCCGTCTCCCGCTCATTCCCTGCCTGTAAAAGGAGCTCGCGCGTTGGACAGAAATAAAGGTCAATCTATAAGGAGCGTTCTCATTGGCTGAAAAGGGCTCGTTTCCTTCCCCGCCTTCACTTTCTCTGAAACTGGTCAGGGAAAGGAGAGGGGAAAAACAACTGACTGAGGAAGGAGGGGGCTGGACTTAAGTTGCTGAAGGCGAATCCCGAGGCCTCTCCCTTCCTCACTTCTCATTGGCTGAAATGCGGGCTTGTTTGGACTGTTATGCGGAGGGTTCCCTCCTTCTTTTCTATTGGCTGAGCCTTGCGTAAACTGCCCTAATTTGGTCTCCTCCCTCCCTCTCTCCCTGGGGATGATGGGAGTTGAAGTCCAACACATCTGGAGAAAAACAAATTAGGAAAACTTGACTCAAGGCCAAACCAAAAGGGTTTTTTCCCCAAATACCTCTTTATATTTATAGCTCTATAAGGTTATATAACATTTAAATGTTATATATTAAAATATATACCACACAAACTTATATTAATATTTTATATCATATATAACCTGCATTTCTCTTTAATTAAGCAACTGTAAAAGCAATATTGCCTCCAAATTGAGCATAAACTAGTCAAAATTAAATACTTTGTAGAGCTTATTTTACCTACTGAATAACATGGATTTTAAATATAGAGACACTGGCTAGTCTGGGTTCAGATTTAGGCATTGAACTAAACCATGTTTTATTGATAAACCACAGCTTGCTAGCTGATGTGCTTAGCAAAAGATGTGGTGAGGATGATGCTAGTTGATACATCACCTTAAGAACCAGGACCATGCTGGCTGGGAATTCTGGGAACTGTGATCTCAACACATCTAGAGGGAGACAGTGAATTTTAGAGCAATAGAAATTTAGGCAATAGAAGAAGAGGACGACAGAGAATGAGGTGGCTGGATGGAGTCACTGAAGCAGGAGGCGTGAGCTTAAATGGACTCTAGAAGATGGTAGAGGACAGGAAAGCCTGGAGGAACGTTGTCCATGGGGTTACGATGGGTCGGACACGACTTCGCAATTAACAACAACAACAAATCTCAGCCTGAATAGCTATGGACTTCAACTCCTAGGCTATCTGGCTGGGGAATTCTGGGAGTTGAAGTCCATACTTCTTAAAATTGCCAAGGTTGAGAAACATTGAAATTGAGCATTTCTACACAGTGCAGAGATGTAACCGCCAGAGGGTAGCATTGTAACAGCCAGACCAGCAATGAGATATTTCCAATCTGATTTTTTGTCCTCTACAGGCTAAACTTTTTTCAGGGTAATTGAAGCTCTTTACAGCTCCTTATTTTGAGCGTAGGATCCAAAGATCCAGCTCCTTTAAAAATTCTGCAATTCTGGGAAAATTGGAAAGAAACCACGAGCTGCAAGATGGATAGACTTTATTTGCACCCTAAAAGACCAGGTTGGGAACAAATCTTCTTGCAGAAAATCTATCTCTGTCTGGGTGACAACTTTAAGACTTGTGGACTTCAACTCCCAGAATTCCTCAGCCAGCATGGCTGGCTGAGGAATTCTGGGAGTTGAAGTCTACAAGTCTTAAAAGTTCCCAAGTTTGGAGACCCCTAATCTATTTGGTCACTAAATGTTGACACCAACTTGACAGCACCTAATCAATCAATCAATCAATCAATCAATCAATCAATCAATCAAATTGGGTTGGGACCCATTTCTTGTCCTTCAAATTAAGGATTAGAATTTATGTCTTAGCCACCATGTTGACTTTTTTGACCAGGCCTGCAGACACCCCCGACTGAAACAGAGATTCATCTAACACAAATAAACTCTGTTTCCCCGTTTCTGTATTCCGTATGTATTCACTTTCTCCGCTTTTAGTTTCAGTTTTCCACTCAGCTTATTTCTCCATGGACGGTCCGAGAAAGCGGAATGCCCCGTTTAAAGACTCTGGGGCTAATCAGACAAGAGTTCAATCCTGATTAAGAGGAATGTGTTTGGGGAGACGAGAGTTCCCTGTGGTAAATGGACTGTCTTGTTTCTCTGTTACTTGCATGGCTTGATTCAACAATGGTTCTAGGAAGCGGTCTTGAATGTGCCTATTGATGGTGGTTTTGCCTGGCAAGTGGAGAGAGAAAACAAGGGATTATCCCCCCCCCCTTCGTCTTCCAATACTCGTTGCATTGGTTTTTAAGTATAAGCAAAGTTCCCTAACTCAGCTACCAACAGAGATGCCGAGATCCTAGAAAGAGTGCAGAGAAGAGCAACGAAGATGATCAGGGGTCTGGAGGCTAAACTGTATAATGAACGGTTGAGGGAACTGGGTATGTCCAGTCTAACAAAGAGAAGGACTACTAGGAGCAACATGATAGCAGTGTTCCAATATTTGAGGGGATTCTACAAAGACGTGTGTGTGTGTGTGTGTGTCAAACTATTTTCCAAAGCACCAAAAGGCAAAATAAGAAACAAAGGATGGAAAATAAGGAGAGAAGCAACTTAGAACTAAGGAGAAATTTCCTGGCAGTGAGAACAATCAACCAGTGGAATGATTTGATTCCAGAAGTTGTGGGGGCTCCATCACTATGGTTTTTAAGAAGAGATTGGACAACCATTCGTTTGAAATGGTATAGGGTCTCCTGCCTGAGCAGGGGTTGGACTAGAAGACCTCCAAGGTCCCTTAACGTATTCTATTCTATTCTATTCTATTCTATTCTATTCTGTGCTGTGCTGTGCTGTGCTATGCTATGCTATGCTATGCTATGCTATGCTATGCTATGCTATGCTATGCTATGCTATGCTATGCTATGCTATGCTATGCTATGCTATGCTATGCTATGCTATTCTGTATTTCCTATTCTATTCTATTCTACTCTATTCTAGTCTAGTCATCTATTATTCTATTCTATTCTATTCTATTCTATTCTATTCTATTCTATTCTATTCTATTCTATTCTATTCTGTATTTCCTATTCTATTCTACTCTATTCTATTCTAGTCCAGTCATCTATTATTCTATTCTATTCTATTCTATTCTATTCTATTCTATTCTATTCTATTCTATTCTATTCTGATTGCAATCATAAGTCGAGGACTTAGCTGTTCCATGTTTCAAGCCCTCTTCCCCCCCCCCCAACTTCCTAACTTCCTCTGAGAAATTAAAACTTCGGGACCAGATTTTTGTCTGTTTTTTTTTTTTAAAGAAAGTTTTTATTTATAAGCAAAATATACCACAGAGCATTCTCTAAAAACAGACCTGAGTGGAAAATGCGTTTTTACAAAAGTAATGAGTGGAAAAACATTTCATATACAGCATTTTTTTCTTTAAAAAGTATATACATTTATATATTTATATATATATAAATCATTAATAGGAATCTAAAGGAAGATAATTCACTGGGCTGTGTGCACGTCAGCTTGATAGACTGTAATCTTAATGTAATAGTAGGTAAAGTCAAATAACACACCAGGTGCAAGGAATGTCAAAACGTAAAGAGTTGTGTTGCGTATCAAAAAGGGGTGGGGTTTAGACAGGGTTTTTGCAGCAGCCATCTTGACTTTTTTGACCCACCAGGCATGTCTCTGAAACAAACTAAGTGGAACACATTATAGACCCAGAGGTGTCCAACTGTGGCCACTTTTAAGACCTGTGGACTTCAACTCCCAGAATTCCCCAGCCAGCCTTGCTGGCTGGGGAATTCTGGGATTTGAAGTCCACAAGTTTTTAAATGGCCACAGTTGGACAGCCCTGCTTTAGACTAGCAGAAACATCTCCTTTTTCCAATTTGGTCATTCCTTACAGATCCCCCAAAGGAGACAAGTTTGCATCAATACATAACTGGCAAGTAGAATGGAAAATATGATTTTGAAGCTGAAATGAAGTCCCTGAAAATATGATTCAATGGGGAACTGGCATTGCACAATTCTATCTGCTTGTCCCAGGCTGAAACTCAACGTGGAATCATGGCTGCAAGTCTCACTTTGAAAAATGGATCTGCTGAGTAACATAAAATTGGAGGAGTGGGATGTCAACCCTCTTTTTTGCTCTTAACAACCCCCCTCCCAGATTGCACCCCTTTTTATTATTCTCCAGGCAGGCTCTGAGACTGGAGTTGCTATAACTAAAATCAAGGCTGGGTGCACCCAGCTGTGTTTGCGGCAACCTTAATTTGGTGACTAAGTTAACACTTTTTCTAAGTTCACACAAGACGTTCGGTTAGTTTCTGTTTCAAAGGGCTTGGGAGTTGCAAATCAAGGATCAACCCCACCTCAAACAGGCAAACTAAAGTTCAAACTAACTAGGTTAGCATATGGGCCAAATGCTGCGTTCCAGGTCTGGTCCGGAACCAGCAGTCTGAAAATACGGTGGCTGCCCACACATTTGCTCATAAATGTTGTGTTCCTCACAACAGGGATAAAGAACAGCCCACATTGCAGGGCAGGATTTCTCAGCCTTGGCACCATTGAAATGTGTGGACTTCAGCTCCCAGAATTCCCCAGCCAGCATGCTAGCGAGCTTTAAGATGTGTGGATTTCAGCTCCCAGAATTCCCTAGCCGGCATGCTAGCGAGCTTTATGATGTGTGGATTTCAGCTCCCAGAATTCCCCAACCCGGCATGCTAGCGAACTTTAAGAGGTGTAGATTTCAGCTCCCAGAATTCCCTAGCCGGCATTCTCACAAGCTTTAAGATGTGTGGATTTCAGCTCCCAGAATTCCCCAGCCGGCATGCTAGCGAGCATTAAGATGTGTGGACTTCAGCTTCCCAGAATTCCCCAGCCAGCATGCTAGCGAGCTTTAAGAGGTGTGGACTTCTGCTCCCAGAATTCCCCAGTCAATCAACGCTGGCTGGGGAATTCTGGGAGCTGACATTCATAGGGCTTCGAGTTGCCACGGTTGAGAAATACGGTTTGGTATGACACAATCGGCTACATTCATGCTGGAAAGTCACATTATCACCATTGGCCGGGATTGTCTAGGTTGGGTTTTTCCCAAGTCAGCAAAATGGTGAAGGAGAAAACACACCAGCGGTTATTGTCATCTTCCTGCAGCTGTTGAAGGTAAGGATTTTCCCAGGAAGAAACTGAGATGGGGTTTTTCCTTCCGGGTCACTTCCTAGTCAATGCAGGGGGTCCGTCTCTCGTTTCTGCAAAGGCCTTGCAAAAAAAGGAAGGAAGAAAAAAAGCCCTCTTCATCCGTCCCCCGCCCCAGCAGAGAAGGGCGAGGGTTAGGACTCAACTTTAACCATCCTGAGATCCTCCTCTGGATAGGTCCTGGAGGTTTTTAAGAAAAGATTGGACCATCATTTGTCTCAAACGGTATAGAGTTTCCTGCTTGAGCAGGGGGTTGGACTAGAAGACCTCCGAGGTCCCTTCCGACTCTCTTCTTCTCTTAGGCCTTTTGCCTTTGCAGAATCCTCGGTCTGAAAGGGCTCCCCAGAGATCAGCTTTTTGCACGGTTCACTTACGGCTAAACTAAAATGCTGGCAAGTCTTCTCAAGACTTGGGTCTTCTCAAGACTCCCCGTAAGCTGTGGAGGAAATCCTGGAGTTGTCTTTGAGAGTAGAACAGAGCCAAACTAAAGTCCAACTAACTAGATTAGCGTACGGGCCAAATGCTGCGTTCCAGGTGTGGTCTGCAACCAGCGGTCCGAAGGTACGGTGGCTGCCCACACAGAACATTTCTCTTGAAGTTAAGTTCACCCCGAGCCAGATCTGGGGGTCAGAAATGTTTCTTGAGAAGCAACCGGGCTATAAAAGTTCATCAGATTAAAAACAAACAAACAAACAAACAAACAAATCACTCTGCTCCATTCAAATCTCAGGTTTAGAGCAGGGGTGACGACCCTCTGCTTCATTTGTCCTTTGGTGCCAGCTGGCACAGTACACAATCCATGGTGATGAGCAGAGAATCGTGGCAGTGAAATAGCTGGACGTAAGTGAGAACCACGGATTGTGGGGGGCGCGGCGGCTGAAAATCACTCTGTCCAGGTGACTTGAGCAGGTGAGGTGGACCGCGTGTATCTCAGCTTGGGAAAAAATGCTCAGCAGAATCAGGAGAGCGATTCCTTGTGGGAAGAAGGATGGCTGTGGGTCTCTCAAGGGTTTGTCTTTGGAAGTCCCCCCCTTGGGGGCGGAGAGGTGGGGGGCCGGTGTCACCAGTAGGGTGTCTTGCAACATCTACACAAACACCCAGCTGGGGGGCCCTGCAGCTCTTCCCTTTTTTAGGCGCCTTCCTCAGTGGCGGCACAGCTGAGGGTCTCCGTCAAGAGCCGGCTGTTCTCCAGGGGAGTGGGACACATCACGTAGCGGCCCATCGCCTGCGGGGGATGGACCTCGGCCGAGGTCACCATGGCCTTCAGCAGCTGGCTCTCTTTGGCCAGGGATTCCTCGGGGCCCAAGCCTCCGACGGCCCCCAGCTCCGCCTCGGCGGGAGCCACCCCGTCATCCATGTTGACGTAGAGGATCTCCTCGGGGTCTTTGGGCGGCGGGAGGGACTTGAGGGTCCTCTCCAGCTCCTGAGAGAGGATTTCAAAAGTGGGACGGTCGCGGGGGGTCAGCGCCCAACAGCTCATCATCAGCTCATACCTTGGTGGGGGGGATAAAAAGATGATGAAGAAGTTGTTTCTAGACCAGACATGTCAAACACAAGGCCTGGGGGCTGGATGCGGCCCGTGCAGTGGTTTCATGTGGCCCGCGAAGCCATCCTGGAAACAGTGAGGGAACGGCCCCCGCTGCCTTGGCCCTGGCCCAGGCCAGCTGGGAGCCAATGTATAATTTTGTGGTGGGCATCTATGCTGAAACGCATTCAGTCTTAGCTCCACAAGGCTGTCCGGAAACAGCGAGGAACCAGACCCTGCCGTGTTGGCCCCGTCCCCTGGGTGCATGCTTTGGGAGGTGTCACCCTTTGTGAGGAATGAAGAAATGGACCATGCCTTGGCGCTTGCCCCAGTCCCACCCCCTTCTGCCAGACACCCTCAGATCTGTCCCACTCCTGCCCAGGCCCCCAGAGGCACCCTTGACGCGAACGATGTAGAGCTGGCCATGCCCACCCAGTAGGTCGCACCCACCCGGCTCCCCCCGAGGGCAACTGCAATGCTGAATGCGGCCTTCAATGAAATTGAGTTTGACAACCCTGTTCTAGAGAATAGATCCTTCTGAGACTCTACAGCAGGGGGTCTCCGAACGTGGCAACTTTAAGATTTGTGGACTTCAAAATAGAGAGCCAACCCCACTCCCTTCGCTGATGAGGTTACCTAGTAGGTCATGAAACGTCTGCGGGAAAATAACCGAGTTCAAAGGCCACCAAAGACGCCGCGAATGTTCTTCTTTCCCTTGACTCCCATATTTTGGCCAAACTTACTCAGGGTAAGGAAATGGGAACTCCTATAGTATTTTCTGACGAAAAGGGGAAACTGAGGCGGAAGTACTCACAGACTATCCAGGCAGTCAATTGGCTGCTTGAGGCGGTTGCCTTGACGTAGGTAGTCGTAGATTTCACTGTTTTCCACCCCCGGATAAGGTGTCTGGCCTCGTGTGGCGATTTCCCACATGGTGACTCCAAAGGACCACTGCAGGGGGGAGGTTAGAGGAAAGAAGGTGAGGCAGGCAGAAGAAAAGTGTAACCCAGGTGGAGTGCAGACCCTCCCCCGGGAGGCCCCAAAGATGGAGGTTGGTTTCCAGCGGGAACGAAAAGTCAGCCCGATTTATTGGCCGGCGAGGGGAAAAGGGAGACCTCGGCTCACCACGTCGCTCTTGGTGGTGTAAACGCGGTCTGCCAGGCTCTCGATGGCAATCCATTTCACCGGCATCTTGGAGATACGGCCTTGGCGGTAATAATCCCCGTTATAGATCTTCTTAGAGAGGCCGAAATCGGCCACGCAGGCTGTCATGCTTTCGTTCAGCCTGTGGAGGGAACGCGAAAGGGAAGGCTTTAAGGGTGAGGACAGGGTGGGTGACAGTCTAACAGGGCAGAGGGAATGGCTTTGAGGGACAGGAAGGAGAGCGAGACATTGCTCAGATAAAAGAAATCTGAGCCCGGGTCAGAAACGTAATCTGAGGAAGCATCAGACAAGGGCATGGCTGGTTCTCATGGAGATAAAAGGAGGAAACACATTCAGACTTTCAAGGTTCCGAACCAGATGGGCCTAGTGGTGAAGGCACCAGGCAAGAAACCGGGAGGCTGTGAATTCTAGTCCCACCTTAGCCATGAAAGCCAGCTGGGTGATCTTGAGCCAATCACCAGGACATTGTAAGTTCTAGTCCTGCTTTAGGCAAAATAGCGGGCTGGATGACTGGGCCACTACCAGATGCTGAGAGTTCTAGTCCCATCTTAGGCATGAAAGCCGGCTAGGTGACTTTGGGCCCATCACCAGGAGACGGTGAGTTCTAGTCCTGGTTTAGGCATGAAAACCCATTGGGTACCTTTGGGCCAATCACTAGGAGACGGTGAGTTCTAGTCCTGGTTTAGGCATGAAAACCAATTGGGTACCTTTGGGCCCATCACCAGGAGACGGTGAGTTCTAGTCCTGGTTTAGGCATGAAAACCAATTGGGTACCTTTGGGC